TGACACCTGTCCTTACTCCTCCACAAAACCGACTCTGCCCACGCAACTGCCTGGGAGAGCTCATTCTGGCCTCAGGCCACCCCGAGAGAAAGGCATTGTTTTATATACTGTTCTATTTGGGGAAATGGAACAAAATCAGATGCAACCATTAAGCGGTTCAGCCAATCTGACCCCGGACACCGAAACAGCACTTGCACTGCTCACTGAATCTGCTTGGGCACACGCCATTCCCCGCTGGACTACGCTCTTCCGAGGCAGAAGCCAAGGAACAAACAGCAGAGCCACACTGGCCAAGTCCGGAGTGCTGGCACGTTCTGGGAGGCTGAGGCAGAAGCACTACAGGCTCCAGCTTGGCCTGGCAACTTACTGAGACGCTGTCTCAAAATAAAAATGGCTGAGGATGTAGCTTTGGAGAGAGTCCGGCTCTCATCCTTAACAGGGCACCTAAACATGAAAGTTCTCTAGTCCAAGCAGAAATTGCCCCACCTTTGGGGGGAGGCAAAAGCTTCTGCTGTCTTCTGGAGAAACACTGACGTGGCCCTGGAGTTTAATACTATCCATCATGACATATTCATGGGTAAGAACCATTTGCTCCTCTCTGATTTTTCTCTTCCTAGCAAGCATTTCTCATGATAGGGATGAACCCACAGGCCTCTCCTCCTCTTTGTACTCAAATATTTTCTGTCCTTCAGGGCAAGGTCAATGCCACCATCTACAGCATGTTCTAGTAACTACAAGGGAGTGTATTCTTTTCGCATAAAACCCAAGTACACATAATTATAATTATGTTGGGGCCAGGGGATGTCACTCAGTGACACGGTGCTGGCTGTTTGCCTGGTGTGTGTAAGGCCCTGGATTCTATCAGCATGGCTAAATAAAAAGCCAGTTATGTGGTACACACCTAGAGTCCCAGCTACTTGAGGGGCTGAGGCAAGATGATCACTTGAGCTCAGGATCTGAGGTCAGCTTGGGAGGTGAGACCCTATTTCACACACAAAAAAGGGGGGGGGCGGGAAGATGGCTCAGTGGAATAAGTGCTTCTCTGGCAAGCACAAGAGCCTGAGTTCAATCACCGGTTCCACCAAAAAAAAAAAAAAGGCTACACACACCTATAATCCCCAAGGTAGCTAGCAACTCAGCAGGCAGAGACAGGAAGCTCTCAGGTCAAAGAGCAGCCTTGATAACTTAGTGAGACAGCCTGTCTCAGAAAAAGGGCTGGGAACTGATGGACTTCTAAATGAGCCAGATCTTTCATACAGTTTTCATTATATTTGTTTCTATTCAAATTGCTTCTCAAAGTCAAAAGAAGGAGAGAGGGGGGAGAGGGAGAG